GTCCTAGGCAGGGGCCCTTCAGGTCTGCAGGAGGTCGCAGAGGTGTCTCCGCAGGAGGCCAGAATTAGCTTTGCGGGCTAAGGCAGAGGGGGAATCAGGACCACCTTTGTCCCCCCTTCACTGGGCCTCGAGCCCCCACCCCTCCCCCGCCCGCCCTAGGAGGAGAAACCCCGGCCTGCATTTGCCGGCAAGGCGGGTCAGGCCGGCGCCTGGCCTGGCCCAGACCCCCGCAGCCCGGCTCTCCGCCTCAGGCCACGCGCCGCAGCCTCTCCCTGGCTCCCTTCCCCCCTCCTTCCCCTTGGGTCCTGGGGCCGACCTCGGCCCTCCCTCCCTGGTATCCCCCTCCCCTCCTTTTCCCTCCCCCCCTGCTCTGTGCTTCTGGCTCTGGGGCTGGGCCCGTGACGTCAAACCCAGTGTGGCGTCGGCGAGACTGGCCGGCGCGGGCCATCAAAAGAGCAACGTCCTCTTTCCCAATTACCCACTGTCAGTCCGGGAACAGGGGCGGACCGGCTGGGAATTAAATGTTAAATACCCCCTACAGGCTGGCTCCATTACACCGGGCATCCAGCCGCAGCCCCTCACCCCTCTCTGCCAGTCTCAAACCACCCAGACCAAGAGGGGCCTTCCAAATCTTTTATTTTTCCAAGGGTGGGGGATGGCTCTCCTGCACAGTGTGGCCCGCCTTGGTGCTAGTGATTTAATTAAAATGAATAACGTCTCCCCTCCAAGTTCTGTGCGTTATCGGAGAGGCGCCGCTACACCGGAAGGCCTCCTTCTCATAGAAATTGTCTTTGTCTTTTAAAATCGGTCTTAGTCTCACACGTTAACATTCTCAGCTCCTGGCGTCAGCAGCTTCTCTCTCCGAGGATGGCTCCCTTTTATTTCCTAGGCTTCCAAGTCTCGGCGTAGAAAACCAAAGAGCTACGTTTGGGATTTTCCGCGTGGCTTTGAACGGCTCACGCCTCCTGGTCCTGGACTGACGGGCGAAGACGCGCTTTTCACTTTTTTTTTCCGCCTCTGCTGCCATCCTTAATCTTAATCTCGGGACTTTTAGCAAAAATGTGTATTCGTTCGCCTGTTCTTGTTTATGGAGTCGGTTTCCGGTGAACATTAGACAGAAACTAAATAATTAAAAAAGGTTTGGAGAGCGCCGTGAGCAGGAGGAGAGGCTGGCAACTTGACTGGCCCTAGAGAGACGTGGTCAGCATGAAGGGAAATCGATGCTCTTTTACTGGGCCGCCCTAATAAACGGAGACTAAGTGGGCTCAGGAGAAACATGGGGGGGGTAATTCAGGGATTTTCTTCCCGTTCCCTACCTAGACACTCAACCCTGATTTCTAACAGTCGTCAGATTTAAGAAGACTGAGAGTCAAGAGAAGCTCCAATTCCAAGTCGGGAGGACCCACGCTTTCCCACTACTTCTCCCAAATACAGTGTATTAGTCTTTCTACAAGGACTGCATATTAAAATAGGCCATCAGCACACACCAAATTAAGCCTGAATATTGAGTTTTTCCTTCACTGCAAGAAAGGAGTCCTCCAGAACTTACTTTTAGGGACGGCCTCTGTCTTTTTTTTTTTTTTTTTTTTTGGTATTTGTAGGGAATTTAATGGGACAGAGAAGCGAAGAGGGATAACGTCTTCAATTCAACTCAAACCCCAAATCGAGCTCTTAGTACCGTCCGCGGGAAAGCCTGCGGGAGAACTCACGGGCTCTCCTCGCACATACTGCCCTAGGGTGAGCCACGGGTGGAACCTGAGTCTTCTCTTCCCGCCTGACCCTTGCTCAGTCGGGCTGCGTTTTGGGGCTGGGCGGCTGCAGGAACCTGAGTGCCGCTAGGGGATGCAGTGGCTCAAAGCACCGACAGAGGCCGGGGAGGTTGGAGCCCTCTGGGCCGGCCAATCGCGGCGCGGCCGCAGCCTCGCTCGCTGATTGGCCTCTTCCCGGCCCCGCCCCGTGCGCCCCGCCCCCTCGCCTTGGCAACTTGGATCCTCGCTCCCCTCCGCCTGGGGCTGCAGGGCTGGACCCAGCGAGTCCTGCGAGCTGCGGGGCCCGGAGGAGGTCGCGGCTGTCCTGCCCGGCGGCAGGGGTGGGGGTCGGAAGAGGGGGCTGGGGAAAAACGCCGAGAGCTGAGTAAGTGGGGCCCCGGGAGGGGAGAAGGGAAAAAGTTGGGTAACCGGAGTGAAGACCCGAGTGCTTTCTCTCCACTCTTACCGTGATTGGGGTGCGGAGACTCTCTCGCCCCTCTCCTTTTTATCCATCACTATTGTCACTCAAGTCAAAAGCACACATCGATTACACATATTAGGTCTGGAATGGACAGCTGCAACAGCTGAAACATTCATTCGAGAAGCTTGTTAACGCAGGAGGCTGGGCGAATCTTATCCACGACCACCAAAGTATCGCGGTCATGTCAATCAAAGGCACTTTTTTTTTTTGCCCAATTCTTCAATCTCTTAGGCAACTCTCGGGAGAGGCACATCTCCAAGTACTTTGACATTACATTTTTTTCCTCTTCTGATCAGTTTTTCTTGCACAGAGATCTCACATCAGTAAACTACCCTGGACTGAACACAAAAAAATGCTCGTTTAAAAAGTCTGAAAAAGAAAGGCCGCCTGTAGAAATAAACTTTATGAATGGGGCAGGCCGGTTTCCCCGGCACGGAATAATCTAGCGAGCCGGAATGAATTGGCAGGAACGGGAGCCACATTTAAAGGGCCAGAGCGCGAATTCCCTCCTGCCCGCCTCCTCCGCCCCAAACCCTGGCGCGCCTCGCCCACCCGCTCTGCGGCCCCTCCGCCCGGGCCGCCCTCCTCGGCGCCCCTTTCCGGTCAGTGGAGGGGCGGGAGGAGAGGCGGGGGGTGCGGGGTGGGGGGGGTGCGGTGAAGTCCTGAGCCGGTTTGGGTTGCAGTTTCCTTGTGCTGGTGATCCTGTCCCCTCCTCGCCAGCGCCAGGCTCCTCCCCCGTCGGCGCGGATGACACTAGAACCTCCTTAAGTTCCGTCGCGCCACAGCTGTCTGCGAACACTGAGCTGCCTGGCGCCGTCTTGATACTTTCAGAAAGAATGCATTCCCTGTAAAAAAAAAAATAGAGAGGGAGAGAGAGAGAGAGAGAGAGAAGAAGAGAGAGAGAGAGAGGAGAGAGCGCGAGAGAGAGCGACGACCGACGACAACTCGTACGACCGACGACGTTACGTTTCGTCGTCCTTCCCGTACCGTACGGTACCAACCGACCCGTC